CAAAAACAAACAGGCTTCCATAAGGGACAAAATCACCAAATTAAGATGTTAGAAAGACACTTCGATGTGAGAAAGGTTCAGAAACCCGGAGTGATGTGGGGTGTTCTGTGTGGCTGACAGCGCCCGCCTCTCACCGTTCAGTCTCAGCAGGACCGTGATGGACAGCTGGGCAGAGGGACGCATCCAGACGGCTCGGTGTGTGGTGGTGACAGTGCCCGGCAGTCCTCAGGCCAGCTCAGGAGGCGTCCCGGGAAGACCAACATTTCCAGTCAGCTTCCTTCCCCACTTTGCGCATCACACAACGGCTGGACCCTCTCATACGGAGGAGAGAAAACTGAAGCCAACACACAGGACAAAGTAAGTCACGTAAACCAAACTGAAAAGCAGGCTGAACATGGCTGAACCACCGGCTGGCTGGCCTCCCCTGTGTTCAGGACCACGTGGGCCCTCCATGCCGTCACCCACGTCCAGACCAGCCATCCTGGGGTGACCAGAGGAACCAGGAGGAGATCCAAGAGTGTGTTTTCCTGACATGTGGGACCCCCAAGCCAGCAACATCAGAATCACCCTGGGATATTTAGGAAACACAGTCTCAGGTCCCACCCCAGACCTGCTCCGTGCTAGCTCCGAAATTAAAATCTGCATGTTAACAACCCCCCCAGTGACTTCTGGACATGCTGACATTTCCGAAGCGCACGTCCATGCTGCCGTCCCCCGGGCAACAGTCGCTTTCTCGTCTCTCCTGTCCCAACACCTCCTCCTGCTGCTGCTCCTCACTCAGCAGGTGCCCACTCGCTCCCACCACCCCGGGACTTGCACAGCTCCCACCGCCGCCACCCTGCCCCTCGGCGTCCGCGCTCATCTGCCAACCGCAGACGTGCGATGGCCCAGCTCGGCCCACAGCTGCCCCGCCAGACACCAGCTCCCGTCACTCCAGCTCTTACCCGTGCCCGTCTACGTCACTTGTTTCTTTAACTGCCCATCGGATCACGCCCATGGATTTACAAACAGGCTGTCCTTTTCCTGAACTTAAAGTTTTTCCCTGATCCTGTCGTTGGTGAAACAATGGCCCCATTTCTTTCTTCTCTTTTGCAACAAAACCCCTTCCAAGCGTTGACTGTACTGCTGACAAATTAATTCACCAGTGACCCCTGGGCTGCTGAGTCTGCTGGGCAGTTAGTTCTTATCTTTCTCTCTTACCAGAAGCATCTGGAACAGCCTATCACTGCCTCCTCCGCACACGTACCCTTTCCTCAGTTTCCAGGAAAACATGGCGCCTCCCCGTGACTGCAGCTTCCCACCTCACCCTCCCTGTCTGGTTCTTTCTCTTCCCCCAAACTCTTAGTGTTGGTGTGGCCCGAGGCTCTGTCTTCGGCCCCTTCCCTGTTCGCTTTACCCTCCAGCCTTGGGGAGCTCCTCCAGTCTCCTGGCTTAAATGGCATCGATTGGCAAATGACTCAAAAGTGACAGCTCTATCCCAGATTTCTCTCCAAACTCCAGGCTTCTCGTGTCTTAACAGCCACCCACAAACTCAGCATGCTTAAAACTGAGCCCCGATCTTCCTGCCAGACCTCGTCCACATCTCAGCTTTTAGCACTCCCCTCTCTCTCCCGTCGCTTAGCCATCCATGTCTGTTTGTTCTCTGTACCTGACTGTCTGCAAATCTTATTGGCTCCAGCTTGTTACTTTATGAGAATACCCGGGGGCCATCTCGCCAACTCCACTGTTTCGACCTGCATGACGGTAAGCCACCCCATGATTTCCTTCCTGGGCGAGCATGGTTCCTCTCCTGCGGTCTCCCAGGATGACCCCTTGAGCCATAAATCAGACAGTCCTCCCTTTGCTCAGAACTCTCCAACAGCTCCGTACTTCGCCCAGACCAGAAGCCACACTCCTCAGAAGGGCCTTCGGGCCCGATGGGGTTTCTCTGGAGGCCTGTCCTCCCTGTCCTCCAGCACTCTCCCCTCGCACCCCTTTCCCACCAGGTGTCCCCGCCTCTCCTTGAACACGAGTGGCACACCCTGGGTCTGGGTGCTCCTTCCAGAGGCCCACCTGGCCAGCCTCTTCACGTCCATCGTCTTGTTTTAAATGACTCTGGTCTTGTTTTGTTTAAATCATCCTGTTTCAAACAGGGATATGTTCTCTCTACCCCGCCACTCCTTCTTACTCTGCTTTATCTTTTCTTCCATATTACTACCTTATAACATAAGATAAAATGTGGTTATTTATGCTTATTGTTTGTGTCTCCCTGTGGCACTGCAAAGTCTACAAGGTAAGGATCTTTGTTTTGTTCAGTGGTGGACGCCAGGTGTCAGTCCATCGGGGCCTTGCATTTTCCTCAGCCTCCCTGCTCCTAGCTTTGAAGCCAGCTTCCAACGTGCATTCCTTACCCCACAAGCTGACGCTTCTCCCTCTGCAGATCAACGTGCACATGTGCATGTGCATGCTCTGCACACCATTCAGTGGCCCCAGCCCCACTGCACTCCCAGCATCATGCCACACCTGAGGCTGAGCAGAGCGCCTGTGATGGAGTAAGGACAGTCTGCAAGTGTTAAACTCGGGCCACGGCTTTCGTGAACTTACAAATGAAGGAATACGCGTGAAACTGCCTTACCAACTTAGGGCAGGATACAGGGCAACGAATGGGGAGAGGGTCCCTCCCAGCGAGAAGGCGGTGGGTACAGGTGACAAGGACATAGGGAAGGTCGTGCACGAGTCCCTGCCCCTCCACTGCCTAGCCACGGCCTCTCCCAGGCGCCAGCAGTGTCTTACCTTCTGTATCGGGCATGTAGGAAGAGGACTGAGTGCGAGTTGGAAGTGTGATGGCTGGCGAGAGCCGTGTGGGTCTGAGCCCTGACGGCCCCTCAGTCTCGCTGTGACCCTGGGCAAGGCCCCCCGCTGTCTCATCTGTAAACCAGTGAGAAAGCCACTGCCCACCCCAGCATGTGGGAATCAGTAGGGAAGACAGCGAGTGTCAAGGCCTGTCACCCAGGGCACGCTCGAATGCTGCTCTTCCCAGGACGCTCAGGCTGCAGAGGGCCGGGGACCGGATGGAATGCGTGTGGACAGCCTCAGCCTCGCCCTGATGGACACCTGGTACGACGGGGTGGAGCATGGCGTCTCCAGCACGGGTGAGCGAGCTCCTCACCCCCGCCCTCGCAAACGCAGAGGTGAGAACAGAGGAAGACCCCACAAGTCATCACCACAAAACTGTCTTTACTAACAAAACCAAAGGATCCCACAGACTTTTCGTGGACATCAGCTTTCTTTCCAATTTTAAAATGGTATTGTGCATACACGTTTTTAAATTTTAGACACATTTTGGAGGACACAGACAAATGCAAAATCATGTGAGATGTTCTGAGCTCTGAATACAAACCCTTAGCACTACTAAACTGACTTGAAGTCCTTTGATGGACGTGCCGTTTCTCCTCTGCTTTCAGGGGCCAAGAGCTGGGACTATGGTTACGTGGCAGCCCAAGTCACAGGCTAGCCAGTGGGACGGTGTGGGGTCACAGAACTGCACAGCTGCTAGCATCTAGTGGGTAAGTAGGAAGGTGTCAACCCACCAGCTTTAAAAAAACCCCAAACTTTGTAAATAAATCTCCTCCATTTATCCCCCAAGTATTTTACCTTTCCCTCAGCAAGTCAGTCAGAAACAAGCCTAACAAGTATTTTTCATACACGGAGTGATACCCAGGTAACTAACCCTGTTTCTGGCCAGAATCCCGGCTTCCCTGAGCCGCCTCCCTCCAGCTGACAGGCTGCGATGGGGGTGGGGGTCAGGGTGGGGTCTCAGGTGACTCCCGTGCGCCCACTGCCTCCTGAGCAATGAGACAGCTCGGGCAAAGCTTTCAGCCGAGGCCTTGAGGGCTTGGTGGGCCAGGTGGCAGGCCCTCACTGCGCTCCGTCGTGTGTGGTGTGGGTGGGGTGCATGGGGGGAAGGGTGCAGCGCAGTTTGGCTGAGCGCTTCCCTCAGCCCATTCCTGACAGCACATCCTGCCTTCAGGTAACAGGCGGTACCAGGCTGCCTGAGACACATCAGCAGGCCCATGAAGTCGGTTAAGCTATAACCATGAGGATTTATACCCACACAAGTCATCAGCCTCAGTTGAAAGAAAATACCGTATTTCCCCATGTATTTTTCGAAAAATTTGGGGTCTAAAACTGGGTGCGTCTTATACAGTGGTTGTATATTTTTTTTACTTGCATTTCTTGCTTTTTTCGTGCTTGTTTTTTGCACTCATACAACCACTGTATAAGACACACCAAGTTTTTAGACCCCAAATTTTTTTTTAAAAAAGGTGCGTCTTATACATGGGGAAATATGGTAGTCACGACTCAGAAACAAGAGTGTCTGCAGTGAAGTCTCAGGGCATCATTTTAGAGACTGAAGGTCACGTGTTAGGGTGTCTGCCCCACAGCGAGGCTCGGCATGTGCATGAGGACTGGTCTCCTGCACGGATCTCCTTCTCCTTTAAGAAAGGAGTGGGAGGTGGGGCTGACACTTTTTTGTTTTTTAAACGTTTTTTTCTTTTTTACAATTTTTTATTGGGAAGCAGTGTTTTTTTCAGGACCCATCGGCTCCAAGTCAAGTAGTTGTCTTCAATCTAGTTGTGGAGGGCGCAGCTCCTTGGCCCATGTGGGAATCGAACCGGCAACCTTGGTGTTATGAGCCTGTGCTCTAACCACCTGAGCCAACGGGCTGCCCCATCTGACATGTTCTGGACAAGGCGTGGACCATCGAGACACCTAGCCTGTCTTGTAAGCCCCATGCGTCAGCTTGCAAGAGGAGAAGTACTCGGAGGTCCTGGACCACTCATCCCATGATGAGAAAACCTACAAACTGAAACCTGCGTGACAGAATTACCAAGGGCACGCTAATCCAAATCAATGCCCACTTTTAAAATAAAAATCGTCAGACAGGTAATACAACAATTTTCTTGGTTAGAACACTGTTTCCTGTATGTATAAATGAAGACTAGTACTTTCATACTTAATACATTTTAACCAATGTGAGATTTTATCACCAAATAAGTGGACAAAATAGAACTGTATTAATCCCAAACTTATACTCTGATAACTTGCCAAGTTTTGAACTAAGTGTTGTTGCAGGGACTTAGGGAATGTCTTGTTGCTTCTCAGCCTTCCGGGACTTTCCCCTCTGACGTAGGGCAGTGAGTTATAACATTGATGCTTAGTAATATGTGCTGAGTCTAGAACTGCTGACGCTCAGCCACGGCTATCCGGTCTGGGACGGGGCCATGGAATGGCTTCCCCTGAAAGCTGTCCCTGGCGTCATGAAGTCCACTCCCCAGGGCACTGGTTGCCCCAGACTGCAGGGCGCCCCTGGAATGTCACACCAAGTGCCTGACACCTCTGCTGAGCACAGGGATCCCCAGGAGAGCTGCAACCACCTCCTCGGGCTTCTTAAAAACACAAAGTTGAGCACAAAACACAAAACATACAAAACACCTGCCTTGTGGGCAGGCTCACCCCTCCAACCAGGCCAGCCAACCCCCTCCTCTCTGGTGGGTTTCTTTTCAGTTTGTGGAATGGTCTTTCCCTCATGCTCATCTGAGAGGTACACACAGAAACGCTGAGAAAGTATTACCACTGGGACCCCCCACCCCCAGTGAACCTTTCTGACATCTAAGCGGCACCCCCTGACTGCTGCCTGTGTGTCAACACTTAGGACACTATATACAGAGAAGTGGCCGCCGGACTCCCGCGCGGTCAGCTCCAGTTCGTGGACAGAGGACTTTCCACTTAGAACAACTTACAAACAACGAACACCAAGAAACATGCAGACACTACGGAGAACTGGACGTGAAGAATCCGTGTTTCACACCAGTGCGGGGACACTGTCACAAAACGCCAATGGGATGGTTTCTGTCACTCATGCACTGACTTGAACTTGAGGGTCTCTGCAGCACAAGGGGCTGTGAAGGTGCCGGCTTCTACTTTTTCCTCTTTCCAAATTCATAGTTGGTTCTTTGTCAGGTGCTAGCAATCTTCTGACTTTGGGTCCAAATGGGTCTCTTAGTCTTTTTGCACCTTTTTCTCCATCTGCGAAGAGCCAAGTTCAAACGCTGGAAACCGTGACGTCTCTGGTACCAGGACATCGGAGAGAAAGTGAATCGCACCAGCCATGCCTGTAACGCAAGGTGGGGATTCTTTTATGAAAGGGCTCGAGGGGAATACCTGAAGCAAAGTAACCTTTAATCGCTTCCTTTATCAGGAGCTGGAAGGACGTGAGGAAAGGAGCTGAGGACTTCAAAAACAACAAAAGAAAAAGAGAGATGCAGAGAAAGAAAGAAATCCTTAAATTAGCACCCACCAGGTAAGGATACCACTTTTCTTCACTGTATTATTTTTTAGAATTGGTTTCTGGGCTTTATCTTAATATCTTAAAATTTGAAGATGATCTCACAGAATCACTACCAGAAGTTATGGGTGGTGCTGCTGTGATCTCTCAGAGCCTTTATAGTCTTATTCCAAACAAAAAGTTGCATGTTATATGTTCTTTAGGTTCTAAGAATGTCACCTGAAAATGAGCTTGATTTGCTTTGGTCAAAACCCCACCCCAAATCAGTGCAGTAACGGAGCTTCGTGTTCTAAACAGAGCTGCAGGAGCTTCTTTGTGGGATGCAGTGAGGAAGACTCCCCGCTCCAGCCTCCAGCCCTCCTTCAACCAGAACCTCCCCTACTGGGTGTTTGTTTAGTATTTTCCTTTTGATGTACACTCACATACGACGGAACCCACAAGTCTTCAGTAGGGTCTGATCACTGCGTACACCAAACCGTATTGAGATACGGGTTAGTTTCACCCCTTCTCCAGGAAGCCCGTGTCCCTCTCCGGTCTGCCTGCCACCGTCCCCACCCTGGACTCGCCTGCCTGTTTCAGGACGTCACATGAATGGAATCACACAGTACGTATGTAGCCTGTTGTCTGGCTTCTTCCTGCAGTCATTTTGCGAATTGTTCATGTTTTGTATGTGCCGGTAGATGTTTTCCTGCATTGGGGCTGCCCCCAGCCCTTCCTACAGTTTTTGTTTGAAGAAAGGATTCCAGAAGCTTATGTAAGAAATCCAAAAACCGCCGATCTGCGCGAGACAGACAGTGACCCCTCGCCCCTGCACAGGGGCCCGGAGCAGACCCTGGTTCCTGTGTGGTGGGGTGTGCAGCACACCTTGGATGTGGGAAGCTCCACCAAGTCCAAAAATATAGTTTACTATTATAGTATGGATGCAAAAATCCTTAACAAAGTATTAGCAAATACAATCCTGCAATTAAAAAAAAGAACTGTATACCATGACCAAGTGAGGTTTAGTCCAGAGATGCAAGACTGGCTAATATTTGAAAATCTACCCAGATTAAAAATCCACAATATTAATAGGCTAAGGAAGAAAACAGAAATCACATGATCTTATCACAGGTTGCAGAAAAAGCATTTGACAAAATTCAATACCCGCCCACTGTTTGATTTTTAAAAAAATATTCAATTACTTATTCCTTCTGAAGTTTACTTTGGAATTAGAATAGATGGGGCTCCAAAGTAATTAAAAGTTATCATCATTTTATCCTAACGCCATTAACCTTTGCTCATTGATTTCTGTGGCTTAGGTTGCAAAGTATCCAATTCACACACACACACACACACACACACACACACACACACACACACACACACACGCACACTATAAATACACAGAGTAGTTGAGCCCCCAAGTAGGGCTTCTACTTTGTTTTTCTGAATCACCGTCTACACATGGTGCCTGCAGCTCTGCCAATGTCACGTCTGCTCGTTTCCTGTCACTGCTCGTCTTTCAAAACTTTCTTCAATAGTCTCATTACTTTTCCCAACTACGAATATTTCTAATTACTAATGCTTTTAATTATTAATATTAATTATTCATAATCTTTATAAAACTTAATTAAATATATTAAAATAACCCAGTTTCCTGTGAATGGACTGTTATTATATACACATTATTCCAGATGAAAAGCAGAAGAGGAAACTTATTATTTCTCCCATTACCAAGTAGCAAACACTCTATGTTCTGTCTCCATATATACTTCACAAACGATCTAAAAATACTTGGAAGACACAGGAGCACAGAGCAGGTGGGGTAAAGAGACTCAGTGTAATGTCAGCGATAAACCGCTCTGCTCATTGTTATTTTGTGTCTGTGGTTATTACCCAAGTGAGATAAAGGTCCTGGCAGCAGTCCACACAGCGAAGGGGCCAGATGCACGCACCCACTCGCTCACTCAGAGGCCGCTCGCCCTTACCTTCGAAGAGGGAGTAGGGTCTGTCAGGAATGCGGCACCCATGGGCTCCATATTCTAGACACCACTCTGCAAACTGAGAAGAAGTGGATTTCCTTTTAAGGGTGGAGATCTCGCTTGGTGGAAAGACAACAGATAAGACACCGCAATGAATTCCCCAAGAGTCCAAGGGAGGAAGGAACCCCTGGGTCGGAGAAACGCTGGCAGCGTGGGCTCGGGGTTGGACCCCAGCGCCACCTCTTCTCAGCGGTCTGTCACCTCTCAGCCTGTTTTCCCAGCTGTAAGGAGGTGTCTGCCGCAAAGTGTTGGAGGGAAGATTGAAACAGAAAGCTAACAAGCACCACCTGTCTTTTCGAGGCACCTGCCGGTGGTTAATTCCTGAAGTAACTCTACCCGCATCAAAAACCCTGGCTCTGAACCCGCCTTCAGGGCCAGCTGCCGGCTCCCGGCTGTATTCTCTGGCCTCAGCTGTAAGGCATCTAAGCTGCCGCCCAGCCCCCAGCACTCTCCCCCACCTTCACGTCTCTCCGCGTCCCTGTGACTGCACTGCCTGGGGCACTGCCGGGGGCGCTGCCCGTGGTCTGACACGCCTCACCCAGCATTTCCTCTGAGCACCCTGACCCTTCCTTCTGAGACCTCCTCCGTGGGTTTTTATATCATTATAACAAATTTCCCTTTTTTCCTTAAGCTAACTTAATACTGTCATTTATATACGAAGAATCATAAGTAATAAACACAAGGAATATCAAATTAAGCACATATACACTAACACTCGCTCTGCCTTCCACCCTCCACGTCTGCTCACCCTTCTAGCTGTTTGATGTACCATCCGTCTAGCGTCCTTAGTCAGACAACAGGGAGACATTCTGACACTTGCATCTTCTCTACCTTAGAAAAACCCGCTAAATTCTTGGTTTCTAAGTCTCTCCTCTTTATTATCACAGCCGAAGCTATGGTTTACAACTCAACATTTTTTACATTCATTATTAAAGAACAGCTTGGGGAAAGCCAACCTCGACCTTATCCTTTCCACTGGGACCACAGCAACCTTCTGAGAGGAGTCTGGGCACGATGACAAACCCCGTGAAGCCCCACCTCCAGTCAGCACCGGCTGGCCGATGTGACAACCAGCGGGGGCCTGGACATGCAGACAGGGGGCGGGCTCCAGCTTTGTTTAAAGCCCCCTGTGACCCGAAGGTGTGGCAAGGTTGAGAGCTACCAACTAGGGAAGGACCACCTTCTCTGGCCTTTTCCCACCTTCACCTGTGTCCCCCACAGCGGGGTCCTCTGTGCTTCCATGCAGGAGCTATTCTCCCATCAGGAAGGTGCCCCACCTTCCCAGGGCACCCCTTCCAAGTCCACCTGGAAGACTGCATTTTAAACCTGTGTCTCATCCTCCGTAAAGCCTTTCCCGGTCCCCCATATTTAGTTAACCGTCCGTACTGCAGCTCTCACCAAATCGAGCTGCATCTATGACCCGCTCTGCTCTGGCCACATGAACGTCGCCATCCTGCAGGGGCCTCACACCCCTGGGCCTTCCTGCTAACATCTCCCATCCCCTTTGCTTATTTTAAAGCTATTCTTGAGGTCCCGGCCTGGACGTCACATCCTGACCTCCAGGGAACGTCCGGGGGTGAGGCGCCTGTCCTCAATGGGCCCCACGACCCCCTGCGTGCTCCTCTGTTAGCGCGAGCACCATGACAGGCCTGTGTGTACCTCGCAGGCGGCACCAAGGATGGCGTCCGTTCTATGTGGGCTGAGGAAAGGTTTCATCTATAGTAACATGTTCACTGTCCTAAAAATAAAGAAGTCACCTGTGGTGCCTCCATCTATCAGGGTGATGTAAACATTTCACTGTGTTTTCTTCCCGTCTTTTTTCTGTGACTATCCAACTAATCCTGTGAAATGTGTACAGTAATAAAAACACTACAAACATTAACCGGGTCTGGCCTGTGCCAGCCTGTGCTCTGGGTACTGGCGTAGGGTGGTGACCTAGACGAGTAAGGTCAGCAAGCTTGTATTCTAGTGCTTCCACAGACTCAAGCAAGCAGCAAAGACACGAGGATGGTCTCAGAGGCCCTCTCTAAGGATGTCACAGCAGCTGAGACTAGAATGACAGGGAGCAGCCATGCAAATTTCGGGGGAAGAACATTCCTGACGGAAGAAACAGCTAATAAAATGCCCACAGGGGCACGTGGCACGCCCCAGCCGGTGTAGAGGTGGGGCAGCACGGCTGGAGTGTGCAGAGGGGGGCCTAGAAAGTGGGCTAAAAGGGGGTGGGGAGGGCCGGGGCGCAGGGGCTCTTCCTCGTGGTGCAATGGGAGGGCGCCAGGGCAAGGCTGTGCCGGGACAAACAGGACCCACTGCAGAGCTGGTCAGGAGGAGCGGAGCTGTAGTTCTGTGCGTGCTCCAGGGTGTTGGGAAGCTGTTTGGGTTGAGACGCCCTTACCTTGCACGCTCGGTAGAGGTACTTTTTATCCTGCGTGAGGTGGTAGAGGGACAGGAAAGAGTAGCCGTTCCCGGCCGTCCCGTGGCAGACCCCATAGCCCTTCCGGAGCAAACCTCGCTGCCAGATCACGTCGCTGCACTCCATGGCATCTTTCAAGTACTTTTCCTCCTGAAACACCTGGGCCGTGAAACAGAGCAGTGTCAACAAGATGGTTTCAACGGAGAGTCAGCAAAGTATCTCCTCGTTCTGCTTAGAAAGTGGCATGACACTAGGAAACCTGACATGGCACTGAGGATAGAAAAAAACAAACACCCCCAGCAACACCGACTACAGCACCTTACGATCTTACCCTACCCGTCTATCCCCTTGTCCTCTCCTAGCTCATGGTTCTGCGAAAGTAATTCTAAAACTTAGTCTAACCAATGAAAACGCCTGCCCACGTCAAACTGAAAAGCCGGTGGTGAAAGCGGGGCCCGGAGCACCGGCTGCCTGTGACGCTGGGTACTGACCCTGTAAGCTTGCATCAGCATGTGGATGACGCCGGGGGCGCCGTGGCACCAGTGCACCAGCCGGTCTGTTTCGTTGCTTAAGGACGATGGGTAGTTCCCTGATCTGAATCTCCTGTGGCGTACGTAATCGATGCTAGGTTTCACCATTTCTGTCAAGGTTTCTTGGTCCACTTTTGCTGCTGGCTTTAAACAAATAAAAATAAAACATTTAATTTATTTTTCCTTAAGTTTTTTTTTTTCTTTTGTAGACCTCTGTATTGTGGCTAATAGAATAAAGCATCAATTACATGGAATACTGAGGAGCGTATAAAATTAGAATCAATTCAAATATCTGTTTATTTAAGATGAGGGCAGATGTTTTTTGGTTTCAGCTTTTCGATGTTGCGGATTAAGTCCTGAGCACCTGCTGCAGAATTCGCTCCGGCCCAGGGGAGGCAACGGAGGGCTGAGCCCACCCACATTATGGAGGGAGGGCTGCTTTACTGGAAGTCTCCCCATTTCCATGGAAATCTCACCCAAAATACCCTCACAGGAACATCCAGGATAATATTTGACCCAATATCTGGGCATCGTGGGCAGCCAAGTGAGCTGGCTACCTTTTTTAATGGGGACTTTCAAATACCTGCATCATCTTTTTTTAATTGAGCTATTATAACTGGTTTATAGCATCACATAAGATTCAGGTGTAAAACATTGTAATCCGCTACCTGTGTATACTACAGCGTGCTCACCCCCTAAAGTCTAGTTTCCATCCCTCGCCGTACATCTGACCCCCTTTACCCATTTCGCCCTCCACCCAGCCTCCCTCTCCTCTGTAACTACCAATATGTTGTCTGTATCTCTGAGATTGTTTTGTTTTGTTTGTTCATTTGTTTCTTTTTTTGTTTTATATTCCATATAAAAGGGAAATCATATGGTTTGTCTTTTTCTGGCTTACTTCACTTAGCATGGTACCCCCATGCTAAGTCATGCTGCTGCACTGTAACACTGTCACACTATCACTGTCACACACTATCACACTGCTGCA